AAAAAAATTTTTTCATTTGTTAAAAACTTAAAAAACTATAAGCGCAATTTTTTAAAAATATTTTTTAGTTATAATTTAATAAATTAAGCAAAATAAAAAAATCAAAAATGTCGGCTAACTTTATTATTATTTATACTGATGATTTTCGGAGGTAATTTTTATTCTTTTTTTTTCTTGATAATTAAATTAAATTCAATTCCCGAATTTTCTATAAATATATTATATAGTATCGTACTATTTAGCGTTAACAAGCCGACACATGTGTTCATATACCGCGTCGAGGTATTATGGCTGTCCTGGCCCTGGCAGCCGTATTTTTATCCTCCCTCGTGAATTAAACTGAGAAAAAAAGAACCGGGTGTGAAAAAAGAATGTGCTAAAAAAATAACAAGTGTAATAGTTAGTATACTTTAGTAAAGTTAAGAGTTTAAGTTAACGTGTCTACACTTTGTTTGGTTGGAATAAGTTGGTTCTAAGTAAGTGCTAAAATTCTTGATCACAAATTTATTCTATAAAGACTAGACCTTCCATCAATTTTGTGTTTATAAAGATTTTATTTTATTGTGAAAATTTGTTGACTTTACAGTAGAGAGTTTTTTTCTATTGATAGGTAAAAAAAATTATTTATGTAATTAAAAAATTTAATTACATTTTTTTAAATAATTATTTTTTGAAATTTTCTTTATAAATTTCTAAAATATAGTTGAATGTCTTACCTACTTATTAAAAATTTTTCATTAAGGTTTTTTTCACTCCAAATAATATATTTACTGATATAAAATCTCAATCAATAGATATGGCTTTAAAATAAATTTGTACAGTTATATTTTTATTACTTTAACGGAATAAATGTTAAGATACATTTTTTAAAAATAAAGTTCTACATTTAAAAAAATTTTTTTTCAATGAAAATTAATTTAGCAGACATTTAACAATTTTTAGAATTTTTTAAACAAATAAATTATGGAAAAAAAATTGACATGTAGGAATTAAAAAAAATTAAAATTGCAATTTTTTTAAAAATAATTTTTCAAAGCAAATTTGTTTGTTAAATAAAATTAAAAAATTGTTAATACTGCTAATTTTAATATCATTTTTTTTTCAAACAAAATTATAAATTTTCAACTAAATTAATACGTCAATAAAAAAATAATAAGCAATTGTAATGAGCATTATAAAAAAATTAAAATTCTTTTTATAAATCAAAAAATATTATAAATTTATTGACGATGTTTAGTAGTATTTATTTTTTAATAAATTAAATTTGACGTTTGACAAGTGATTCGAGCAATTGTCGAGTCTTAGAATCAATTTATCATATCATGACACATTTATATTTTTTAGTTTGTTTATTTCTAGTGTGAGAGTACGAGAACGATGACAATGCAAACTAAAAATTATATTTATACTAATAATTCGCGGTTCCGCTGTTGGTTTATTGTGTTGTAAACATGTGAACTTATTACTAACTACTGGACTGGGATTGTTAGTGCGATTGTGTGTAATTATTTTAAAATGAAACTAACATTAGCTCACGGTCGTACTTAGCTCTCATATTAGCTCGGTTTCCATTCATCATTATATGAGTTAGTTTTAAAAATTTTGCGGAGTTTATTTTTGTTTCGGTATATATATTTATATTATAATTTCTGGTAATTAATTCGGTTTGCAAGGGTGCGCCCTCGCGTGATTCATGCAAATAATTTACTGCATAGATATACTTTGCTCTGTACTATTCTAATTTTATTTATTGCCTGGATTTTAGTTTTTTTCTAGAAGGTTTCATACTTATTTTAAAATGTATTTATTTAGATTGATGATGTAAGGTCAGGCTTTTGGAGTTAATATTTTTAGTTATTTTTATATAATAAATTTTTTTAGTGGAAATTTTTTGGAGTAACAGGAGATAGAAAATATTTACAAAATTTTAAAATACAATTAAGTATTAAAAATAAAAAAATTAAATAAATTTTCTATAATTTATATTATTAAGAGAATAAGAAAAATTTTGTGGCCAGTGTAATTGTATGATAGATAGGTTTTTATGGTTAATTTGATATCATTAGAAAGGTTTTGACCTGGAG